CCGCGTGTTCCCGGGCGAGCCCCGAGCGTGACCCGCTGCCCCTCGCCCAGGCCTGGGGTTTTTCTCCGGCCAAGACCCGGCTTTACTTCCTTCGGGGAGGGAGGCGTGAAAAGCCCGGGGCCGTGAGACGGTGAGTAAAGCTCGGACAGCCGCGGTGCGGGCTGGTCGTTCCTTTCGCAGATCAGGTTTGAGCTCTGTGTGGCTCGCACTGTGCAAAAGGAGTTGTAGAAGACGCACAGTTTGAATTGATTACGTGTTTGTTCCTCCTTTCCCAAAACCCTATTTTGGTCGCTTTGTTGTCCGTCGCTTTTGCTTTTAGTGGCGCTGTGGGTTTCCAAGACCAGGAAATCTTTTTCAGGGAAGGGTCAGTGTGCAAATTGACGGAGACCAGCGGGGTCCTGGACCCTTGGGGTAGAGTAAGCTCTGTATACGGAGAAAATGTCTCCACGCCGAGATCTGGATCGCCTTTAAGGACTGGTTACATCATGTCATCTAGAGTAGGAACAGTTGTGATCTTTTCTTGATTCTGTGTATCGTGTTAGTTAAACGCTCTCGTTGCCTATTATCTTACTTTCTGTAAAAAACCCCACCACCGTATATCCTCAGTACTAGGGTTTCGAGGTTAACACCGCAGCCAGTTTAAGTTGTTTCTCATTTCACAGTATACTACTTACTCTCATTGGGAAATGATGACAGTGAATGATTTAGACATTGACAAAGTAATCAAAACATTTCCCAAAATATTATTACATTTCGGTTTGTTGTAATTTAGGCAGTTTTGGTATCAATTGGGCTAGGGCTGTACTTGTAATTATCTTTCTGATCATTTGATAGCCAGCCTTTACAGATTAAGTTGTTAAGGGGGATAGGTTGCAAAATCTTTTCAATTCAGGCACTTGGGTGAAAATAAGGAATTTTGAGGGTAGCGTTGCTTTGGATTAAATGGCATGAAGAAAATCTGCAGATTGTGAGGTGTGTCAGTTGAGATTGTGAGTTTATTAACACTAAGTGGTCTCAACAGCGGACTTCCAGCTACAAATGCTGATAATGTTCTGAAGGTGTTGCTTTCTTTGAAGTCACATATGTTGAGGAGCTCACCCAAGCGAAGGAGGTGTTGAGAACATGCATAGGTCTCTGCCCATTTCTGTATAGAGAGGACTAAGTAAAAATGACTGCATCAGTGGAGCCTGCCACAGAGGCCAGGGTCTATTCTATGTTTTCTCACTTTCTACACACCCATGCCATTCTACATACACTTATTATGTTCTAATGAGATGATAATGTGTTATTAAAAGATTTGTCTGGGATGTGCGTGTTTGTGTAAAGAAAATTTCCTTGTTCATTTCCACATTGAAACAGTGTTGCTTCAATTGGCCAATGCCTGAATCTTGCTGAGCAAGCCGCTCCCAGTGTGTGTGTGTGTGTGTGTGTGTGTGTGTGTGTGTGTGTGTGTCTGTGTGTCTGTGTGTGTCTGTCTGTCTGTCTGTCTAGGGGCCCGCCCTGCACCAGGGGACCTTGCAGGTTCTCCTGGACAAAAGGTCCTCATCTTGGGGAGGCTTTGCACCTGAGGCACTGTTTGCAGGTTTTGGAGAGGCTTTTGGTAACTGCAAGTCGAGGGAAGGGGTGGTCCTGTTGGCATCAAGTGAGCAGAGAGGCCACAGATGCTACTAATATCCCATGATGCACATGACCCTCCCTCCCCCAACAAAGCATCAGTTGGCTGTGGACATCAGTGGCACCTAAGTGGAGAAGCTTGCTTTAGTGCATTGGGCAAGAAACAAGGAGGTCTGAACCCTGTCACGACAAATCTATGCAGCAGAAATAAAAATATCCACCTTGGTTATCACAGAATTTCCAGGGAAGGTCAGGTAAATAATGCAGAGGTGATGCATAGAAACTGAAATTCTACTCAAATTAGTTATTATAAAGACTTTCTTTCTAAGTGGATTGTTAGATATGTCGGTAATTATGAGGTTAAAAAAGTGGATCATTTTTTGTTTTGTTTTGTTTTGAGACAGGGTCTCATTACGTAGTTGAGACTGACCTGGAATTCGCTCTGTAGCCCATGCTGGTCTCGAACTCACAGCGATCCTCCTGCCTCAGCCTTCCAAGTGCTGGGATTACAGGTGTGTGCCACCACACCTGGCTTGATATCATTTTTACGGCAGTATTGGGGATGAGCCCAGGGTCTTACATATGAGGCAGTGTTCTACCACTGAGCTACATCTCTATCCCTTTTTAGAACTTTTCATTTTTAGGTAGGATCTTGCTAAGTTGGCCTCCAGCTTGTGATCTTCCTGCCTCGGACTCCTCAGTAGCTGGGATTTCAGGCCTATACAGTTAAGCTTGGCCATTTTTTCTTTTTTAAAAATTACACTGCAGGCGAGGCAGAAGGATTGCTTGAGCCCAGGAGGCTGTGGCCAGCCTGAGCAACACAGTGAGGCCTTGTCTCTCACAAGAAGTGATGCAGAGATGAATTCTGTTATGAGAGGCACTGAAGAAATGGACTTGTTTTCACACACTTCATGCTGATCTCCAGGTTGGGCTCTTGGTCGCCCTGGTGCTCCCTCTCAGCTCCTCACTGTCCCTGTCCTCGGCTAGGTGTGCATGTCTTGCTTCCTGTCCGGGAGCCCTCTGCGAGCATGAGGTTTCACACAGCTGCCATGTCTGCGGCTGCCTTCGGGCAGGAAACCAGCTCCTGAGTGCTCTTCCTCTGCAGCGCCCGGCCTGGTGGTGGCTTGGAGGCCTGAGCAGCTGTAAACATTCAGCTCATTTCCTGAGACCCTCAGATCCGGGGTTTATGAGCTGTGAGCCTCCGCAGCTGGCAGCGGGCACACAGTGTTCCTGGGTGCTCGGAGACGAGATGTGCTATTGGAAGCAGAAGGGAAATTTCTCCCAGTCGCTCTGGCCAGATGACAGCTGGCACTGGGTAGGGTATTTTTAATCTGCTAACTGACTTTACTCCACAGTAATAGCCACATCGCATTTTGTTTATTCATTCAGCAGATAGTCGCTGGGTGCTTGCTGTGGGTCTCCGAGAGGATAAATGGGTCAGCAGTGGAAGCCTCCGCTGTGTGGAGCATGCAGTTCGCTGCCACACACAGGAGAGCGCGTCCTGTGGGGGCCTTTCCAGAAGCCTCCAGACGCTCCTCCGGCGGGGCTTCCCTGTTTTGGTTTTCTTTTAAGTTACAGATGAATCCCATTTCTTTGTCTAAACATCTTGGTGCCTGCTAAATGCCTGGCAGGTGGATGAGGTGCTGCTGATGGTGGAAGTCAGCCTGCTGTGTGTAGCAGTGTGTAGCCGGCGCTACAGCAGAGGTGCCGCTAAGACCACCAGGACGCTGCGAGTGACATTTGAGAGGGCCGTCGAGGCCACAGGTGACCAGGCTAAGGGCATGGGGCAGACGCGCGTGCGGTGTAGGTGGCCTCCTCGGGGGCAGCCACATGAGTGGAGTGGGCCACCTGGAAGGGCGCAGGGTCAGGTGGCACGGTGTGAGGTCTGCGACCGTGGTGCACCCGTCCCTTGCCGCATCGCAGGCAGTGCTGTACTACCACCACTTACCAGCTCTCTCGAAGACGGCATGAAACCGGAAGTGAGTGAGTGTGCCTTTCCTGCTCTGACTGGCGCTGGTTTGCACCAGCTGGCTTTCAGAGAGACATCGAGCAGGGAGCCTGGCACGCGTGGGGAGGAGCTCAGGGAGGCTGGTTCTCAGAGGTCTGCTGTGCTGTCGGGTCTTGGCTGGGAGTGAGAAGTAGGGTTGTGGAAAGCAGATGGCCAACTCCGGAGTGTAGCAGTCTGGGGTGAGGGGCCTTGTAACATGCTGGCAGTTTGAAGCTGTCTGTCACTGTCACCACACAGCATGGTGGTCAAGAAGGCATTCAGAAGAGGTCAAGGTATAGAGCTTTGTTAGAATGAAAGGAGTCTGGTCTCCAGCAGAAAAGGGCCACTTTGGATGCCTCTGATAGGGTCTGGGTGTGCATGGAACGGCAGGGAGGGCCGGGCCGCAGGAGGAGGAAGTGCTGCCGGATCTCTGGAGGGGGACTCAGGCTCTTAACTCCCAAGGGAGTGCTGTCAGAAGTAAGGAAGGGCAGCGGCTGGGAACCTCCAGGGAGGGAGCAGGGAGGCTCCGCAGCTGTTTGTAATAGGCGCTGCTTCCGCTGTGGGAGGTTCAAGGTACAAAGCAGGTGGGTTCATTGCATTTTAGCCTCGCTTTTTTCTTGGTTTCGATAGTCTGTTTCTGCTGCCTGTGAACCCAGACTGTTATTTTGGTGGGGCACCAGGCATCGAACTCTGGACCTTGTGCTTGCAAGGCAGGTGGCAGCACCACTGAGCTAAATCCCTGGCCTTAAGAATGACTCTTTTTTTTTTTTTCTTGGTCGTGGGGATTGAACTCGGGTCTTCGTGCTTGCAAGGCAGGCAGTGGAACCACTGAGCTAAATACCTGGCCCTCAGACTGTTTTGATTCTAGCGAGAAGGACATGAACACACGATGCCTGTTTCCTTATCCATAGAGTGAAGGTGAAACTAATGTCCATCTCTGGGGTGGTTTTGCGGTCTGAATGATAACACGTACAAAATTTTTTTTTTGGTACCAGGGATTGGACTCGTGTCCTTGAGCTTGTGAGGCAGGCGACAGAACCACTCAGCTGAATCCCTGGCCCACACCTACAGAATTTTCAAGTGATGGTTGGAAGTCTACCCTGTGGATGCAAAAGCAAACACCGGAATAGAGTGGTTGGTAAGCTTTATATTAGAAAGGCTTCACTGAGAAGTAGGTAAATCAAAAGAGTTCTGGTGCATAGAGAGGCACTCACTGCCTAACGTCTAGAAGCATTTGTTATGTAGACAGCACTCCAGGTGGTTGCTTCTGTTTCTAAGGAAAAATGAGGAATGGAGGTCCTTTGATTGATTGATTGATTGATTGATTGATTTTTTGAGACAGGGTCTCACTATGTAGTTGAGACTGACTTGGAACTCACTATGTAGCCTAGGCTGGTCTCGAACTCACAGCGATCCTCCTGTCTCTGCCTCTCCAGTGCTGCAATTAAAGGTGTGTGCCACCAGGCCCGGCTCCGCTCGGTGTGGTGCTTTGATTTAAATGTCACTTGAGGTGTCTACTTGGGCAGGAA